GGGGACGTAATGCTGGGGCCTCTGAGCTCTGCAATCAGACACTGCACAGCAGGATATTGTCTGTCCTTTGGAAAACTCCTTCACATATGGATTCTGGGCTAGTGTGAGCTACTTAGGACACAATCAGGGAGGAAGGAGTTTGAGATCTGATAAAAGCTATAGACTTTGTAGCTGCCTTTCTGTCCAGGGAGTGCGTCCAGCTCAAGGCGACTCATGGTGGGATCAGATCATTGCCCTCTTTCAAACATTTTGACTTTCTCAAAGCCTGATCTCCTAATATAGGACAGAAGAAAGATCCCTGTGGAAGGCTCTGTGCCCTAGATATAACTTATTTGGGTCTCTTTGGTTTGTGAAACACATGGCTGATTGACAGGCCAAGACTATGAAGTCAACTTTGCTGAGCCATAAATAGCATCATTCAGCTTCTCTGAGTCCCCAGCAGATGTATTCATCAGGCACATGAGTCTCTCCAGGCATCAAAATTGACAGATTTCATTAACTTTCTGCAACCTGAGAATCCAGTTGTAATAGACAGCGTGGAGGAATCAGAGGAAGTGCAGGTTCTCAGCAAGACTGTGTTATCAGACAGTCCTGATTATACAGAGCCGCTAGGCAAGGACTGGCTTAGCAGTCACTGCTCTCCCTGGTACTGCTCTTAATGACTAATCCCCACAGCATCCTCCCTCACCTCTCTGAGCCTGGCAGTTTAACATCACAGCCAGCCTCCAGAAGGGAATTACGTGGTGCAATACAACCATCCTTTCCAGCAACAGCTCTGCATCTCTCTCTCATGTGTCAGCACAGGCCTGGCAAAATCCAGTTATTTCTGGTGCCCTTGCTATTGAAATCCTGCTGCTAGGTGCACCTGACTGCTCAGGTGTCATGAAAACCAGGAAAGTTTCACATTCAGGGCATGAAAACCCTTAGCAGCCTTTTTAGAAAGGAGGAAAGAAAGAGGACTTCCTCCACTAAAGAATTATTTTTACTACTTCTTGTGCCTTGACCTGTGCTCACAAAGCCTGCCTTGTGATTTTTAAGTAATGAGGGATTCTCCTCCTTGCTCTTCATCCTGTCAGCTCAAATTCCCCTGTTCTGTGTTGTGAAGATGTGTTTCAGGGTTCTAGGTGAAGAGGGACCTGTTGATTTTAAAATGCTGCTGTCCCTGCTGAGCACTGCCTGAACACTACTGATGGGTGATGGGATCTGCAGGGCTGCCAGTTCTCCTGTGGCCTCTGGGACACATGCAGGATGAGAGCAGTAGGCAAAACCTGGCAGATGACTCCTAACGCACTGCCCTACTGTAAGGAGGAGGCTGAAAGAGATTGGTCCCCTCATGAAGAAGGATTTACACTTTTTCCTGGTCCTCTCTCTAGAGAAAAGCAACAGAGACTATTTCAGCAGCATTCCAGGGAACATGGCTCCCAGGATCACTACAGAAATACCTGTAAGGAGCAGTTATAAGATGGTATAGCAGGGTTCTAAAGTTTCATATTGTTCAGAAATTATGCTGTTTATTCTTGAGTGCCATCTACTGACAATTCCTGTCTTTATGATTTGCTTTCATTGATATTGCTTATTTTAAATGCCCTATATAACTTCTGTTAGCTTAGATGTTCCTTATTCCTTGAGCACTATATTTCCCTCTGAGGACCAGGATGCCCTTGGCATGATGTTTTCTCTTGGACTTCCCTTTTTCCTTCCACCCATCACCAGGCTTCCTCCTTTCCCTGCCTGCTCCTCCTGCCTAGAGGGCAATTTCTGGCCTTCCCATGCTCACCCTTCTGGCTTCAAAATGTATCTGCAGCTGTGCTGTCCCCCTTGAGCAGGAGCTTGCCTCTATCAGTGTGTTACAGCACTGCTGAGATCTCATTCCCCCATTTCCTTTCAGTCCTTCCTCTTCCTTCAAGAGCTTTTTCAGCAACTTTCATGCAGTAACCTTGAAAATATTTAATGATCACTGACACCACTATATTATAGTGTTCTAGGAGTATTTTATTTTAGTAATGTGATACTTGAATTAGCATTATTATTACAGTTTTTCATTTTCTATCTGTAAGATTTCCTCCCCCAGCAGTCCAATACATTTTGTAAAGATAAAAATAAATTAAAGGTGAAAAGTTATTGCCAAGGACAAGAGCTCAGGAAGTTTAAAGTTTAGCCTACAAGATATTTCTTTCTCCATCAAAAACATAATCTGTATAGATAAAGAAAATACCAGGTAGCTAACTCATTATAAGCAACTGAGAAAATGGGTCAAGAGACTTTTTTCTTATACACTCAGTTTTTGGCTTGGTTCCATCTCTGCCAGCTAGCCAAAGGAATGAGGAAAATTCTAGTAAAGTCTCCTAGTGCATGGCACCGTGCCTCAGACAGCTCAGCACCGTGGCCAGTGATACCCTGACACAGCTGCCACTCAATCCCAGGCAGAAAACATCAAGCTGTAAAAGTGTAGACATTTCTCCACAACAGGCTTATACTGTGGAACTCCTTCCCAGAGGATTTTGCTGAGGTCAAAAACTGTAAGTAGGTTTAAAAAGGATTAGACAGATCCATGGTGGGCAGGTGTGATGTTTGCTATTAAGCATGACAGCCTGGCTCTAACATCTGTTCCAGAAAGCTCCATCCTGTGGAGCTGATGGCTGCAGGGGGCTGCAGCAGGGAATCTGCTGTGCTGGGCTGACCCCAGTGGCTGCTGCCCATCCCTCCCATGGGCAGTGGCTACAGCAGCCAGGGGATGATTAAAACAGCTTCAATCTGGACCAAGCCTTTGAATTCCCATGAAAATAGCACTTTGTCTTACATGGTTATTCTCCACTGAGATCCCTGAATCTCCAGCAATAAAACTGGGATTGTGCCCCTGAACTCAAAGCCACAAAAAGCACAAGGTTAGGCCTTTCTGGGGTTCTTTCAGTAGAGACAGTTTTGCTGAAATGAGGGCTGAGGAGTATTTCAGTATTTATTCCTGGACTTCTAAATCCATGTTCTGCCTTTTGTGTAAACACACATCCAAACTAATATTTGACTAACTTAGAAACTGCTTATCAGTAAGATGGCAAGTGTCGCTTGCATCCCATTTCTTTTATTTTAATGACTAACAGCTTGTGCTGCAATTCATAATTCAGTCTCTTTCCTCCTTTCTTGAGTCAGGCAGCAAAACCTGATCAGTGACAGAGATGATTCTTGTGAAATTGCTGCACAGGGGTTCCTCTCACTGAAGGGCTGACAAGCTACCAGCTGAGGAGAAGGCTTAATTGCATGGGTGATCAAAGGAGAATGTATGAGGCCAGGGAGACTGCAAGGGGATGTGCGTAGGAGAGTGTTTTAATGAGAGATTATAGGGGAACATGTGAGTCTGGCACACACAAAATGACAGAAATGAATGCATGAGCCAGTACAAAATAGCATGCTAACCAAAGGCAGCCACAGATCAGCTTCAGCCCCTTCTCAGCCCTTGCCTAAGAGAACTGCATTCTATTAGCTGTCATCCCACTAACCACACAAAGAGAAAAAAGTGAAGGTTTGATCTTTGCAACTGGGAAAGGAGGAGGGGGGGGGGAACGTCATGAGACAACAACATCCAGGCTGAACTGGAAAACAGAGATCAAAGCAATGAGCTGAACTGAGAAGGGACACAGGACGCTGATACGGTGTCCTCCCGGGAATGGGATGAATTGACGTAAAAAATGAGAATTTAAAAAGCATTGAAGGCACTTGCCAGCCCTTCCATGTGCTGTAACACACTGCACAGACAGAGATTTTCTTCATGATGTGTACTGTGCTTTCTTGTGTGCTTACTGTCTTACTTTATACTCAGCTGCACTTACATCACTGGGGGTACTTGAGGAGTAAGATGCCTCCTAATATCAAAACAGGTGCCATTAAAATGGCTTATGCACAATCTCACATCATTTTAGCACAAATCCATTAAAAACCTCATTACAGTTATATTGGCATAAACCTCTGTGCCAGTGTTCTCCCACTGATTTAAACTGGATCAATATAAATTCAGTTTCAATTGATTTAAGAGATTCTAGGCAGAAGTGCACTGCATTTGACAAACTAATGGGAGGACATACTCTTATTGAAATATTAAAACTTCTGCACTCGATCTTTTCATATTCAGCAGTGTGGCTTTTGAACTTTTGCCATTTTGTATTTTACAGGCCCTTACAGGGAGGGAAAATAAGTAACTTTGGAGCAGTCAGGTTAATAGCCTTTCACTTCATCAGCTGAACCCGTGTGCAACCACAGATGCCTTAAGCTTTAGTGTTTTATAAAGTTATAAGGATACAGGAGAAGCATAATGCTTTTTCTACTTACCCTACTCTGAACTCAAGCATATTAGTGGCTGACAACCCTTTTTTATTTTTTCCCTGTAAAAGGCATCTAGCCTTTAGTTGAGCACACCCCTTTTTTTGTAAAAATAATGAAAGCTCAGTATCTAAGATGCCACCCACTAGACCAGGTTGCTCCATTCAAACCTGGCTTTCAACCCTTCCAGGGACAGGGCATCCACAGCTGCTCTGGGCAGCCTGTGCCAGAGCTTTGCCTCCCTCACCAGAAAGAATTTCTTCTGTATATCTAAGCTAAATCCAGATGTTATTTAATCACTCTGAGCTCACGTTCCCCACTACAGCAGCTTTCTGGTCCACATGGTCAGTTTATGGCCACCACGAAGCAGCCTATTGTTACTGAAGTTTATCCAATATAACACTGGGAGAAGAAATGCAGTACTGGCTTTGAAATGACACCATGTAATGTTAAAAACAAGATAAAAACTACTGCCCCTCATGTGCTGGCAGTGATAAATTATGCAGTTCTCTCCTTCCAGTCTCTCCCATCTGCAACAGCTACAATAGAACCTTAATTCAAACACAGTCCTTATTGAGCTCTGGAGCTGTCAGGCCAGTCTCAGCTTTTGTGTGAGATTCCTGAAAAATAAATTTCTCTAAGCAAAAGGCCTCTAACCATGTCTCCAGCCTGGTAACCATAGTACTTACATGCTTTGTGGAATTTGTGTTTCACATCAAGAACGGTAGATGCTGGAGGTACCTGGAAAAGAAAGCAAAATGCATGCAGATTAATTCTTCTTTCTTCTTCACTTTGGGGTCCCTTCTCCACCCCTCCAATGAAGAGATGCTTAAATTTGTCTGCAAGTCCTTCAGGCTAAAATGAAAAAAATCAGCAAATTTGTTTTCACAGGTTGGTATGCTATTAAGGATTGTCCAAATTTGAATTATACATCAACTGGACCACCTCTGCTTGGTCGATGGAGGGGTAAAATCACAAGGGTCAAGAGGGAAAGCTGCTGGCCCTGCTTGATGCAGTAATCGCCCCCTAAATCAAACCACTGGGAAAACTTGAAGGATTTAGCTTTAAAGTCAGGTTCAAGCATGCTGAGGTCCATCTCCTGGGGACATGAAAGGATTGTCTGGAGGGGGCAGTAGCAAAAGTGGCAGGTTCTGTGCTTTCTGCCTGAAATGTCTTTGCTTCTGCATGCTTTTTGTTCATGTGCACTGAAACAATTCAGGCATCACAGTTTTAGAGGACAGTCTGGAGGCTTTTTAGGCTCTATTTTATTATGTATATTGATATCGTAATATATTTGGTACAAATTACCTGAGAAACACATTTAGAATTTACTAGAGCAAAATACTTGAATTTGCCTTTGTTTACAAGGAAAGGCAGTGGGACTCTTGAGGAAGTAGCATGTTGAGCTACTCATTAGTGGATTGTGACAATAACCATGCAAACAAATAGAGAAGAACATAAGAAATTCTCCTAGTAGAGATCATTTAGCACCTTAATATAGGCTGGTTTGTTGAAAAGACTGTTTGGAGAATACTGATGCAACAAAATAAAATTGCTGACTCTAAAGCAACAAATCAGTGCAGAAAGAAAAGTTTACTTTTATGTAATTTGACACCCCACACAAATATACAGTGTGTGTGCTTTTAGTACTTATGAGTAACCCAGCTTGCTTCCACTAATATGAACAGGCAGAGAGCTCAATACAGATTCCAGTGATCTAAAGATGTAAAATGACACCTGTGTTAAGAGGTAGTAAAGTATAGATATTTTTTATGTTTTTTCTTGGGTTTAGATGAGAACACTTTATTTTCCATAGTTACAGAAGGTTTCACTGGGCATTTACAGAAACTGCTGTAAATGAAACTCCACTTAAACCCTGACTTTTCTCTCTGATGTGGCTGCTAAGCAATGCCAACTCCACCCAAATCAAGGCCTAGGCTCCCTGAAACCAAGGATTATCCTTTTTCCCTGTCCCCAGCACCTGTGTTTTCCCAAACCATGTTGAACTGTACTAGGCCAGGCAAGAGACACTGCCCTTGGAGACCCTTTTCTTCCTAGCTACAGGAAATAATTGAAGAAGCCATTTTATCTTTCTTAGTTTAAAAAGGAAAGAAAATATTTTATCTGTGTTTTTTGCACTTGAGCCATTCCATGCAACACCCAGTAGAACAGCACATCTCCCATAGTCTCTGTGTATTTTTCCTATCAGGTGTGCAACATATGTGGACTTGGGGGAGTTATGTCCTCGAAACCTCTAAAAATGTCTGAAATTGCTTTCTCACTCTTTGTAATCTCACACCTGTGAGGCCTGGAGCCCAGAATCCACCAGGTATGGGTGCAAGCTGTTAGCTGGCAGCCCCTATTCAGCACACAAGCCTGCAGACTGAAATCTGTCATGTGTCCTAGCACGGGCAGATGTGCAGGTACGCAGGGCTGGCACTGCCAGCTGAAGGACAGGGGGGGATGGTGTTTTTCCACTTTGATGGAGGATGAGCTGGCTCTCTAAATGCAGCATAAGCCACATTGTTGCAGGGCCTGCATCCCTACAGATCAGCACCTCACTGTGACAGGTTCTGGGATAGAGTAGCTAGGGCCAAGCCTCTGGAGAGCTGATCAACACATTTAGGCAAGGAAAGCTGAAAAACTGTAAAGCTTAGCATGCCTAAAGAGCAGCGCTTGCTCAAAACAGAGCCAGGTCTCCATCTCCAGCTCTCCTGAGTATGTTTTGACTTCAGGGCAGAGCTGCCCTCAATCTGTTCAAAATGTCTAGCTGAGCCCTTGTTAGCAGCACTACCTTTACATCCCTCTCCCTTTTTTTCTTCCTGGGACAATCAGCCCTTTCTCCACTCTAAATCCTGACATGGCAGCAACGGGGCTCACATCACCTAATTTCAGCTATTTAAAAAATGAATCCAAGCTCATGGTTCAGGTTCACCAGTGGAACCACCCAGTGCCTCAGGTGTTTAGAAGGTACCAAGAGCCTGCAGTGTCCTGCTGCAGCCCAGGAGTGGGTGAGTGTGCCCCTGGAGGGTGATGAGCAGCACCACACAGCACTCCCAGCTGCAAGGGCCGTGCCCTGCACATCCCTGAGCGAGGCAGAGCTCATTAGCAGGACCCTGCTGTGCCTGGCCACATCCAAGCTGCTTTGGGCCAGAGCTGCTTTAAGCCCTGCCAGCCCGTGGGCAGAGATGTGCTGGGCTGGAGAGCCACGGTCTGGCAGTTCTGCTCGGCTCCACACAGGCTGCAGGGACACTGGGAAGGCATGGAGCTCACATCCAGCCAGGAGGGCAGCAGGACACTTGTTTTATATGAGCCAGCTGCCTTCCAGAAGGGGCCTTCCACTCAAGACAAACTACACAGGTTGCCAGCTGAAGAATAACACAAATACTTTCCCCCTTCAGAATGGGCTGTGACACAGAAGAATCGCAGTGTCCTTTCCCAGGCAGAATAATGAGGTTATAGCCACAAAAGAATGAAATACATTTTTTTATGATCTTGATAATTCTGTGTCCTTTTCTAAAGACCTCATAAAACAACCAGTGAAGTTATAGTTTCCAATATTGATCAAGGCAGAAGATGGATGCTGAGACACCAGCTTACTACTAAGAGTGTCCTCTTCGTAGACCATTAATTATCTTTTGTTCTTTTCATTGTACATCAATACAAGGTAAGGGGTTGTAAGGACTGGGAAAGCATCTGCTCTTATTACCCTTTGTGCTAACTAAATAAAACACCCTGGAATATTTCACTGTAATTATTAGTCTTACTCTCCTTTCATTCTTTTGAATCATGTCTGAAAGTGTTATAACCCTTTCTTTCCTCTATTTCAGCACTTTACAAATATGCAAAGGCAAAGCAGAGTGGGAGACCACCCTTAGTTTGTTTAAAGCAAGATGGATTTCTGCTCTTGTTTGGTATGTATCTTCTACAATCTGATGGTCAAGCCAGCTTTTCCCTACAACTTCTTCACTTGTAGTCTAATACTGGATTTAAAGTGTAGACAACTTTTCAGTAAGTGACTATCATGTGTAAGGTTCAAGATGACTTTCTTTTGAAAAAAATGTTATGAATAAATGCATATTTTACAGCTATGGATTGCAGTCATTTCACTTTTCATTCAGAAAAATATTATTTCAAAATGTCAGATCCTGGTTTTCCTGTACTTTCACAGCCAGAAAACTTTTACTTTTCCATTTGAAGCAAATGGAAGTAAACTTTTCATTTACAGGAATTCCAGAATTAAAGGACCTTCTGGGTCATCCATACCAGTTCTATTCTTCCTTCAGACACCAATGCACAAAGCACCACATTTCTTTTTGAGATTTAAAATATCATGTTAGTATTTTGTACTAGGACTGAAGAGCACTAAGTGGAGATATTAAGGGAACTTAACACTGCCTTTTGTGAGTGCAAGGTAATCAGATAGTTATCCACTTTCACATTTGTAAGTCAAGGAGTTATGCCAAGTCAGGTGGTCTGTATGTAATTGCCTCACACAGTTCTTGCACTAAAGAATTATTGTAGAGGTCAGAGGTCAGCAGAATATCAATAAGAATTTGAGTAATACAATTTCAGCAAATAAATAATCTTTCATTCAACATTTCTCCCTGAATACCTTTTTCTCTTTGTGACATGTGCACAAGACCACTGCACTGCTGAGTCGCCTACTTTGTAATAGGCATTTTCCATAATTGCAGAAATTCAGAAATTCTCCCACTCTAGTTGCTTGTTAACCACTGCCCCATCTTCAGCCAGAGTAAATTTGTTCAAAAGGGTGACATCAGTCTATTGCAGCTGAGGATCTGGCTGCAAGACAGATAACCAGCTAATGGGAAAGCCAGGTAATTTCCAAATTCAGCACTCAACAACTACTTCAAGCACTCAACAACTACTTCATCATTACTGCTTTTGCACCCTGTCCTTGCTTTGGGACCATGCTGTATTATAAAAAACCAGCAGCATTCCACAGAAAGTTAATTAAAAAAACACCTGTTCTAGCTGATCTGTGTGCTTTGTGAATTTGACCTCTAGATCAGATTTGCTCCTTCTTATTGTCAGTTTTCAAAGTCACAATTAAAAATTGGGCACTGTTTTGCTTTGACCTTTCCCAGAGTGTCCCACAGAGCTCTCTTGGTGAACCAGTGTGCTGGTCATGCCCAAGGAGATATAAATAAATGAGCTCACCATGGGCATGACGTGGAGGTACCTACATAGAGACAAGTGCTGTCAGCAGCTACACAAAGGCTTTATCTAGAGCCCAGTATTTTACTCAGCAGGCTGCAGTGAAGTGGCTACCAAACAGCCCAGCCCTTCCAGAAGCAGGAGATATTCCAAATTACGGCTTGGGCTGAGGTTGTTTCCAGCACACGGACGTCAGCACAGGGCTGCCTCACTGAGCAATCTTCCAGATTATTTATTATCTGGTCACATGAACCTTGGCATATGAGATAATCTGACTGACTAATATTTCCAGTGATTATGGGCCAAATTAGCTAAGAATACACAGAGCCACATGCCTGCTGCGTGCAGTCATGTCAATTTACACCAGCCAAGTTTGTCTCTAAAGATGATTTATTGTTTTTGTGCTGCTAGCTGGGTATTTCTATTTAAAAAAAAAAAAAAAAAAAAAAAAAAAAAAACAACTCTTTGCAAGAAACTGCCTGAAAAAGTGTCAGACACCAAAAAGAGCTTTTTCTCTCTCTGCCAAAGATGAGAGTGGAGGTAAAAAGAGTGTGATTCAT